TGGTTTGTGTCGGTCAAGACATTAGCGAGTTTTTACAACTCGCATGTCAAGTCGTGGTTTGCGTATCGCATGTGTTTTTTCTATTTTGTCGAGTGTGAAGTGTCCATCGCGTCGCAGGTGTGTGCAGCAAGCCCCCATCAACTCAAGAAGAATCTATCTTGCAGAACCAAGACCAAGAGCTCAAGATTTCAAGCCCAAGGGACACGGATAAATATTAAATAGTGAAAATAGTAACGCTACTTCGTGTAGTGTTACATTTCACTTGGTGTAGCCCTTTGGAGGGTTTGTTTCGAGACTCTTCATGGTTGGGGACTCTGTGGTGGTGTACCACCAACCAGGACCTTGGCTCTTGGGGTATGTAGAGGCTGGGAACCATCTCCATCTCGAATTCTTCATGCTAAGTTTGTACTTCTAAGACTATAGTGGCTGCTATTCCTCCTGCCAGTCAAACCGCCATACCGTCGTCAAATCTTCATGGAATTTAATGATTCAACTTGCTGCATATAGACGACAGCAACGCGCTCCAGATCCAATTTACAGATCACCGTTTAAGTCAGAGAGCAGATCGTTATCAATATTTGAAGCTGTCTGACGGAAATCCGACTGTGCTCTCTATCTCTCATTATAGGCACATCTAAGCCTATTGTGCTTATAACAAAAAACTCAGCAACAGCCAGCCGATTTCCTTACCAAGCGGCTGGTTGAAGAGCCACACTGGCACTGTGCGAGGATTGCAGGAATGTCCTTGAACTAGAGACGGCGAGACAAGCCAGCAATCTGAGGGGGGGTGTGTTGGAACATATTCGTTTGCACGTCATCCTGTCGTCTGTTCGCATCATTTCATTTGCTTGCGTTTCGTGTGCTACATTGTTTGTGTACTTTGTAAGGTTTGCATGTCTTTGCATGTTCATCTTGTGCTTGCACAGATGTGCTTGGATTGTGCATGACATCGAGCACATTCCAACGAGCTAAGAATTGTTGGAATCAGAGCACATATGAAGAAGTTACGAAGAAACATTTGATGGATTTGTTACAACCTATTGGAAGTCCTTGGCAGCTGCTACACCAAAATTGAAGAGCCCTATAATGAGGAGGGACCAACATGTAAGGGACCTTTGTCCTCACCTTGCAGCTGCAGCATTTGGGGTTTGGATGCCAACGTGGCATAGTGTGGATTTTATCTTGCCAAGCTGGTTGAACCAAAGAGTGGGGAGTCAAGACTTTGACTATTGTCAAGTTCTTGACCAAGGGCTTCCAGGATCCTTCCCTTTCATCCTTCCGTTTCTTCCCCACATTCCAACAGTGCCTCAATGTTTCCATCATGCCTTTGAATTTGTAAGCTTCAATGATTGTGACTCTGAGGACTGTCAATTTCTCCAAAGGCAGATTACCCCCATGTGTGCCAAACGGCATAGCTCACTCGCTAGATTACGGAATCGAGTGATTCAACTTGCATTGGAAAGCTGCAGTTGCAAGCTAAGACATATCTCGTTTTCCCATTGTTTCAAGGATTGGATATTCGGAGATAGCTTTCCAAAAGTCGCAACTTTCTTGGGCGTCATAACGAAGTGCTGCAAAAAAATCTGAGGAGCCGTTGAATCATCTGCTAATAGCCGTCTTTCACCAACAGCCTGCACCCACCTGCCTAGAATGCACCAAGAGCAAGCTCAGGTAGCAGCCACAACCTTCCTCCCTATCCGTTGCACCTGCTCCGCTGGACTTAATGCGTATGGATGTCTGGCGCCCAGCTCCAGTCGCATCCTGAGGCGGTCATTGGTACTTTCTTACACAAGTCGATAACCACTCGCGGTATGTTTTTTAGCACCTCCTCCATACCAAGGCGGAGGCACCTGACCTCATCATGGCATGCGTGCGCCAGGCTCAAGTCACGTTCGGCACTCCCCTGAAGTGCCTCCATTCTGATGGCGGGGGAGAATTTTGCAATGGCAAACTCGATGACTTCTGCGCGGCCCAAGGGATTCGGCAAACCTTCATGCTCCCCAAAAGCCCGCAGCAGAATGGCATTGCAGAGAGCCACAGCCACATCTTGGTTCAGCCGCAACCACGAAGTTGGTCGATAAGTTCGTCGGCACGCGGGATAGGGTATCGGGACTTGATGGTAACCCGATTCAAGGCGCGGTAGTCAATACACATGCGAACGAAACCTTTTTCGAGCAGATACTCCAGCAGGCGTCGAAGCTCATCCAGCTCGAGCTGAGGCAGCCGCCATTGAGTCTGAACAGTTGGTTGCGCACCGGGTTCCAACTCGATTTTGTGGTCGTGGTCTCGCTCAAGTGCCAAACCCGCTGCTAAGTCGTCTGGAAAATTTTCGGCGTGCTTGCGAATCAACGTTGCCAAATCGTTCGGGACAGCTGCACAAAGTTTGTCGATGTCGGCTGGTGTGTCGACAGCCGTGGATGTGATCCATCGAATGGCGTACAGCTGCGCCACGCGAATCATAGCTCGCCCGATGGTAACTGCGCTGACCGTCGATGTCGTGGAATCTGGACAGCTCCACTTGGGAAGTCGTCGCCACTCGCCACTCCATTTGATGCGATAGTCACCTGTCCGCTAGTCAATGCTCGGGTTGTATTCGCGCAGCCAATTGCGTCCCAGCAGCATGTCGCAGCCGTCCAAAGTTGTCGCCAGCATATTCGTAGTGAAGCTGAAATTTTCGCCGCAAGTTACTCGCACGTGAGGTACTCGCTCCCGAATTGCCAGTGGTTTGACGTCGACCAATCTCGCGTCGATTTCTGGCATGCAGCGCTCCCGTTGCAGTCGCATTTTTTTCCCCTTCGTCACGTCCATCAAACCGTGGCTTGCCCCGCCATCAACGAATATTTTGATGTGGGTGTCGCCAACTCTCCCTTCGACCAGCACAGGGTGATCAACCGGTTCACCCCCCTTATTCAGCTAGGAATGGTCGATAGCCCAAATCGGCACTATAACCTGGTGGGGGTGGTCGCGTTTGGGCGACGCAGTCAAGTCAGTAGGTGGCGCATCTGCTACTGACGATCTCCATTTCTTGACTGCTTATTGTCGTTAGGTAAGTTCTTCTTCAGCTGCAGGCAGTCCCTCACCATGTGACCCGGCCGGTTGCTGTGGAAGCATGTCCCTGAAACTACTCAGGCTGCAAACACATCCACGCAGTTGATTGATGTGTGTTGGGGCTGGCCTTGAAAGCGATTTCCCTCCCGGAAACCCGCTCTCGCGAGTCCACGTCGTGCGTCTAGCGCATCTGCGATGCGAACGATCTCGTTGAAAGTCGTCGGGGCTCGCAGGACGATCTCTTGCTGAATCTACGGCTTGAGACCACCCATGTAGCGATCGATTTTCTCGTCTTCGCTAATCCCTCCAATTTGGTCGCAGATTGCAGAAACGATGCCGTGTATTCTTGGACAGAGCCCAACTGTCTCCACATCTGAAGCTTTGTGCGAGCGTTTTTGCGCATGGATATGTGCTCGAATCTGCCCTTCAATGCTTTGCCCCACGCTTTCCACGTGCGGATCGTGGCCGATCCAAATATTGGTTCTGCCTTCACCATTGATGAACTCGTCTCCCCATCTGCCGCCCGTTGATTCCTTGCCGGAGCTCCTCCCTCGTCGAGATGCATGCGCCACCAGTTGAGTGCCGGTCCCCTCAGCAGCGACACAGCCAAGTTGACACGTGATGCATTGTCATAAATACTTGCTGCGTTAAGAATATTTCCATGGTGAACAGCCACCCACTCACTATAGTTGTCCTGTCGATCGGGTTGAACGGTGGAGGCATCGGAGGCTTGAATTTAATGGCCGCCCGCTGTCATAAATACTCGCTGTGGGCTTCTTCAACTGCTTCAGGTGTCGCCGACGCCCTCGCTTCGCTCGCATCATCGTCGTCTCGGGTAACAAGCCGCCCCTGACGCGTTTCACCCCGCGTCTGTCGAAGTGACGAGTTTTCGTTGTGCAGCGTCTGAACTTCGCTTCCCAGCGAATCGAACTTGTTCGCGAATTGTTGAAGCTGGGCCTGCAGTGCCGTCACTGTAGCCGCCCTGGCTTGCAACTCGTCAAACTCCTCCTGAGTCACGTTCCTAACACTACGACGGGCAGAGGTTTCCGGCGTGCTAGTCATGCTGGAAATTTCACCTGACAAATCTGAGGGTGCACACGCTTTTAGTTGGATGAGCTTTAACGAGCTCGCCTACCAACCGCTGGCCAACCCTCTATTCTTTCGGGTCCTCTCCCGATATAATCGGACTACTCTACGGAAGGCTAAGGGGGCAGGAACGGGGCTCTGATACCAGCTGTTATGAATTAATCGGAGTAATAACATGTAGTGTAATAAAGGAGTCGTGATTCAAGAGTGTCGATACAAATGAGGGCCTATGCATTTATAGGCACGAACAGAGCTAGCCGAGAACCACGCGAACAGGTTGGGGCGATTCGGTTGGCGAAAGCCACAAAAGCGCTGCGCGTCGAGGTTTGGGTTCGCGAAGCGGTTCGATACCGAAGAAGTTGGCCGAGCCTGGTCTTCCGAGAGGCGTACGCGCTGTAGTCGAGCCCAGTAAGGAAAAGGGAATTTCCTTGCACTTTTGTAATTGTGCTGCGTTTCATTTCAAAACTAACTTGCCAGCCCACGTGGACTCCCAACTTGCAAAACACGCCTTAGTGACAATGCTATCCATTTTCCGCATTAGAGCCTGTTTTGCCCCAGGTTTTGACCGTTCGGGCTTCTGGATCGCGTCACATGGTAGGTTCAATTTCCAAAGCCAGATGAGGTGTACATGGACGTCACGTGCGGCCCATGTCTGCGGGCGCGTTTGGAGGGTGTCTGCTGAAACCGTCAATTTCTCGTGCGTGTCCGAATGGACACGAAGTTTTTTGTTTCCAGGTCAAATTTTCGTACCTGATATGCATTTGAATAGTATACGAACGCGCTAGACACGCCCTGAGTCGAGAGCACGCATTTTGGCGACACCTCTCCCTAACCCTCTCTGCCTCCTCTCCGCAGATCACTCATGCTTTCCCGTTCTCGCTACTAGCAGTAGTAATAGCACAGCGACCTATCAATCATTGTCTGCACCTCATGGCGGCTTCTGTTCGAGACGAGTTCTTAAAGCCCCACACGTCCCCGTTCCTCAACCCGCGCTACATCCTCGCTTTCCTTCTCGGCGCTGCCTTCGCGGCGCTCTTTTCCGCAGCTCGCCTGTCTCCTCTAGGCCTCTCAATCGCCGACTCAATTCTCCCTCTCCCCGCCTACCCCTACCCCTACGACGATAATTCTTCCACTGGCGCCTCGCCGCGCCACGTGTGCTGGTGGTCCGGCCGCCACGGCGGCAACATCGCCGACTCCCCCGACGCGCCGTGGCTGGTGGAGCGCGGGGAGGGGGAGGCGGAGCGGCGGGTGCCGGGGGGCGTGGTTGTGGTGGGGGAGGAGTGTGCGCGGTGCGTGGCGGGGCGGCTGTGCGCGTTCACAATCGCGGTGCAGCGGCCGGCGCACTGGGACGTGCCGCGGTACTCGGCGTTCAAGGGCGAGCTGCTCGTCGCGCTGCACGGGCCTGCCACGCTGCAGGCGCGCGTCGCGCGCATCGACAACGACGCGCGCCGCATACTCGTGACATACCGCGCTTGGGACGCGGGGGACTACGTGTGAGTGCGGGGGGGGGAGAGGGAGGAGGGGGGGGGGGGGAAGAGGGTTTGCGGCGATGGAGCGAGGGCCGCGGCCGGAGTGTAGCGCAGCTAGTGGCGACGCTAAGGGGCTTCCGGCTGAACGTCCGCCACCGGCCTATCTTTCCGCGCCGGCGGGCAGCGCGGAACGGCGAGAAGCTGTCCTCGTCGCCAGGACCCCGCGGCGGCACCCACTAGGAATGGGGGGCTCTCATGCGCATCTCAAGCCCGGATCTGGTCCGCGCCCTCGAGCCTCGACGTGCCGCGGTAAGAGACACGGGGGGATCCTTGTCCAGCGGCGCGCCTAGACGTGCAACTAGCGGGTGAATGAAGCAGCTCTGTGGTGTGGCGCGGGCGCGATATGGGAACGATACTCGGTGGGGAGCGAACAGAGGGGCGCACTTTTGGGGCATGGTGCGTGCGAGGATGGTGGCAAACACAGATTAGGCCGTGTGCCGCTGGAGCTCACTCGGAAATGATTCTCCCCCTATCGCCCCGCGCCCTTCATCGCGGAACCCGTTGGTGAAATCGCGAGTGGCGCATCTCGACACTGGCACAACACACTCCGAAGGTCACGACCGAACCCGAAATGTGACCGCCTCCGACTGGTCAAATACATGCGCTTCGCCTGATTCCGTATTACAACACCCCCAACGCCCCCAACGCCCCCATGCCCTCTCCGCCGTGCTCTTCCCACCCCCCATGCCCTGGTGCCACGAGGAATCCACGTTTTGAGCTCAAATGGCCATCCACATTTGTCTCCACCCCCCTCTCGACACCCCACGCCCTCCCATGCCCAATGGCGCTTCAACCCTCCGCCAACCCACTTCATCAGCACCTTCCGCTCCCCTTCCCCTCCTCTCCCCCCTTCCCTCCCTCTCCTCCCCTCTCCCCCGCCCCTTCTCTCCCCCTTTCCCCTCTCCCCCCTCGTCCCTCTCCCTCGTGCTCTGTGTGTCCCCCACAGTGTGGTGGTGCGGGACTCATGCGGCACGCTCAACTACTCGGCGCAGCACCTGTCGCAGCGCACACACAACATCGCCAACTGGACGCTGCATGTGGCGTCCAACCCCCACACCGCCCTCCCTTCCGCCTCTCGTTCACCCTCTGCGGCTGCCCCAGCAGCGGGCGTGGGTGCGGGGGAGGCGAGCGGGGATGTGGTGGGGCAGGGCGTGGTGGCGCAGAACAGCGGCGGAGAGCGCATGGGGGGGGAAGAGAGCATGGCGGAGTGGTGGGCGACACCGTGCAGCCAGGGGGACAGCGGCAGGTGGCTGTGGCAGGACGACCACTACAGGTGGGCTGCCCTGCACGCATCCGTGGGGGGATGCGAGGGGGTGGGAGCTTGGACAGTGGTTGATATGTGTGGGGGTGTGTGAAGGGCATGGAGGGGTGCATGCCATGCGGCTGAAGCACGTGGCAGGGGCTGTGGAGGGAAGGCAGGTCATGGGAGGTGGGGTGGAAGCAGCGTGGGATGCCATGGAGCGACTGCCATGCTTCCACCTTGGAGCGGCCGTGCCATGCACAGTGATCCCCACAATGCTCCACTATGCACGGCATCTCTGCAACCACTCCCAGCATCTACTTGCCCGTCACAACCCCCCTCCTTTATGCTCACATCCCACAACCCCCAATCCCCTGCCCCCAACCCGAACCCTCAACCCTCCACTTTCGACACCTCTGTCTTACCCTCGTCGCATCCATCCGCCTCCAACTTCACCCGCGTTGCTCATCTGGCCCGCACCCAATGCCCTCGCCCCCTCCACTCCCTGCACTGCTCTACCCACCTCTCCACCTCTACTCTCCTCCCACCCACCACTCCCCCCCTCCAAACCCCCACTTCCTCTCCTTCCACCCCAACCCCCCCACACCCTCCCTTTCCCCATACCAGGTGGGTGCCCTACCCGTGCGCGCCCCCCATCCCGCCGCCCTCGCAGTGGGCGTCGGCACTGCTAGCGCGTGGGTTCCGCGAGGTGAGCTTTGTGGGCGACAGCCACCAGCGCTTCCTCTTCCTGCACCTGCTCTTCCTGCTCTCCGGCCATGTCAACGCGTCGCTCGTGAAGAGCCACCGCGAGATGAGCTACCTGGTGGGGCGCGCAGGCCAGGTGCGCATGCTGCAGGGCGGGCCGGAGGAGCAGGTGGGCGAGGAGGAGCGGTTGAGCATGCCGCTGAAGCTCAACTTCTACTGGGTGGACGGCATCTACGAGAACGACCACTACGGCTGCACGTACGTTGCCAAGCGCTCTCGCCACTGCTCATCATTGCCTCCTGATCCTGCCTTGTTTCCCCTCTGCGCCCCATGCAAAACCCTCTCCCCCCAAACTCCTCCCCCTCCCACCCCCCCCAACCGCACCATCCCCTTCTACAGCAACCGTGGGCGCTTCTCAGGCCGGGACAGCAGCTTCCCCAGCATCTCCACAACGGCTGACGTCACCATCTTCAACGGTGGCTTCTGGACGGCGGCCTTCTGCCAGCACGCGGAGCGCGCCCTGGGTGTGTACCTCCCGGCGTACCTGGAGTGGGCCTTCTTCCAGCTCGAGCACACGCAGAACCAGCGCAGCAAGTGGCGCGCGCAGAGGAAGCAGGAGAGGGAGGCCAACGGGGGGAAGGCGGAAGGGGAAGGGGAGGAGGAGGCGGACAGCGGGGGCCCGTGGCTGGTATACCGCAGCATTCCGCCTCTGCGCACGCAGTACCGGTGCATGCAGGGCACGAACGCGCAGGTGATGCACATGAACGACGTGGTGCAGGGGCAGCTGGAGCGGTACGGCGTGGCGTGGCTCAACATGTGGCCCGTGGAGCTGCCGCGCTTCACCGACACGTGCAGCGGGGACGACCCGCACTTCACGTGCTTCACACCCGGCAACAACCCCCACGGTGATGGGGTGCTCTCAGGGCCCGTTGGGGAGGCTGCTGCGTACAGGACTGTGCAGTATATTCTGAACGAGCTTAGCTAGTGCATCCAGATGGAGCAGTGTGCAGGGCTGCTTCTCGTTCCTGGTGGTCTTGTCTAGAATTGCACTCCACGATGTCAATAGTTATGTGTACATCGAAGCAAGTGTACAGTATTTTACAGCATGAGTTCGATCAGATGCTACAACACCCTATCCGAGCTTTCCTTGCATTTGGCGTGCAGAGCTTGATGTTACCGGTAGGTATTATTAAATTATATATTTGAGATATATATTATGGTAGGCTTTATAGGTGTTACTGGATCCTACTGTAGAGGGTACAACCCCCCTTCTTGTATCCCTCTCTTCTATTCCAAACTCTTCTCTCTCGTAACTTTCTCCTAGCCTAAAACCTCTCGCCATTCATGGTGTCTACTCTTCCTACCTAATTGTTCTAGTATTCTAACATTAGGGCAGGTCCAAATAGTCCACACCCAATTCATTTCGTGAAAAGTAACCTGATTTTAACAAGTAACACCTTGTTAAAGGTTTCGCCAGGACACGAAAGAAACTGACGCGTAACGTGGGACACCATTCACATGCCTCGGGCCATGTACCAGATTTCGGATTGGTAACGTAAAAAAGCCGTGAGGTGCAAGATTCGAGGACGGGGTTCCAAGTGTGTCGCGCCTGGATTTCGCCTTGCTGGCTGTGGCGAAAACTAGGCGACGTCGCGAATGCATCTGCACGCGCGACGCCAGACCGCATCCACAATCGAACCTGGAGTTGAGTGTCTCTCTCACTTGTGGCCATGGTGATTTTTCCCGCCTGTTGTATTTTGCGTGCTGCGATACAGATGTTTGGCGCAGGTATACATTTGGTAACTGCGTTTTGGGCCGTTGCGTGCCGTTCGGTTTTCGCACATCTCGACAATTGGCGTCCCGCTTGTGTGCTACCTGCAAACGGAGACACAATTTCTGGTGTTCACGAATTCGGAGTCGTTTCATGGATTTGTACCAAACCCAAAAATGAACTATTTGTACCCGCCCTTAGAATGACGAAGTGAACTCTAGCAAGAGCATGCAGGGTGGTATAGAGGTTGGACTCTCTAAGAGCATGAACCTGTCTGTTATGAATGAACAAGCAGAGTAGCGCGGAAATGAATAACGAAGTGTTCACTCAATGAATGACGATACAAGGAATGGCAAGCCAAGATATAGGAACACCAGAGCTAGTCTAACCATGCGATGGGAAGGTTCGGGAAGGAGATCGAAGGGTCGCGAAGTGACGAAGCGAGGCCTGGAGAACTCCCGAAGGTCGAACCGGAAGGTCTGGAAAAGCCGAGGCGGTTCTGTCAGAAGGTCTGGAACAGTCCCGAGGCTTCAGGTGTGTTCGAGCGTACGCGATAGCAGTACCGCTCGGTAAGGAATGGAAAATTGCTTACACTGTCTAGCCTATAACTGTACATGCACAGCAAATGTATAAGCTCTCACACCTGTCAAACATATATGCGTTGCGTATATACTGTAATATAATATGCTAGATAGGTGCGTACTCTTAGAGAGTACAACCCCTTAGCACAAAACTACCGTGTATCTCACATTCTAGTCACTTCGCTACTTTGATATGGTATCACGCTAGGTTAGGTCCTCACCGCCAATCCGCGCTTCCGCCCTAGCCCTAGACCTAGCCGCCAGTCGCTAGCCGCCCATAGCTAGCTGCACGTAGCTAACCGCCCTTCACTAGCTGCCCTTAGCTGCCCGTCGTCTCGCGCCCACTGGCCCCGCAATCGCCAGCCCCGCACCTGCTGGCCCCGAGCTCGCTAGCACAGTGCCCGCTGGCTCCGCGCCCGCCTGCCCTGCTCCCTCAGGCCCCGCATTTGCTAGCTCCACGCTCCCTGGCCCCGCGCCCGCTGACCCTGCATTCGCCGGCCCTGCGCTCGCCAGCCCCGCGCCCGCTGGCGCCGCACCTGCTGGCCCCGCACCCGCTCGCCCGCGCCCGCTTGCCCTAATTTCGCCAGCCCCGTGCCTGCTGGTCCCGCGTTCGCCAGCCCCGCGCCCACCAGACTTGCGCCCGTCGGTTCCGTGCGCCTGCTTGCCCCGCTTTCGCCAGCCCCGCGCCCGCTGGCCCTGAGGTCGCCAGCCCCCTGCCGCTGGCCCCGTGCTCTCTGGCCCAGCGCCTGCCGGTCCCCAGCTCGCCGGTCCCCAGCTCCGCCGGCCCCAGCTCCGCCGGCCACAGCCCGCCCTGGCCCCGCGCCGTCCAGCCACCGCGCCGCAGTGCCGCCATGATGCCGTATCGCTGCGCCGCCGAGCCGCTCTGCCATCCCGACCTACTGGCCTTGGTTCCCTTCTGGGCCAGCGCTCCTGCCGGTTGTCTTCACCGCACTCCTCCGCTCTCCACTGCTCTCCACCACTCTCCACAGCTCTCCACCGCTCTCCACCACTCTCCACCGCCCTCCGCCGCTTTCCTCCCCTCCCCCCTCTTCCAGCGGTGTTCAGCTACTGCAGCTGTGCTGATGGCGGACTCTGTGCTCCGCCTGGACGCGGAGTGTCGAGCGGTTGACTTTGAGGCGTGGCCCGCTGACCTCCGCCGCTTGCTGAGGGGACAGCGCCAGGATGGACAGTCTCTGGCCGTCCACGTAGATGGTAAGATCCGCCAGCTGCCCTCTCTGACGCCCTCACGCCCGCTGAGCATGAGGCCTTTGCAGTTGCTGAGCTCGCCCGCTCCCGTCAGGGAGTCGCGTGACGCAGTCACGCAGCTTGCTATCAGTCGCGCCCTCCCCCTGTCTGAGCGACCCCGCTGCCAGACTGCGCAGGAGTACTTCGATGCCGTCATTGCGTGCTATACCACTCCCTACTCTGCCTCTGGCGGCCATCTTCTTCTCCCCCTGCTCTTCCCTGACCTTGCGTCCTTTCCCACTGTCGCTGATCTCACCACTCACCTTCGCACGCTAGAGGTCAGCTACCGCGCTGCTAGCACTGACGCTCAGCTCCTAGTACTGCCTTCCCCCCTCGGCGCTACCCTCTACATCCTTGCCACGTGCCTTCTGGACTGCCTAGCCATTGCCTGCGACCACTTCCTTGGCCTCCACCCCGCTGACCTCACCCTCGCTGACTTTGTCACTACCCTGTCCGCGATAGAGACCCGCCAACGCACTATCGCTCAATCGAGCGGTACTGCGGCGATCTTTCACGGCTGTGCTCCTTCCCAGTGCACATACTCTGACGTCTTTTCCGCTGTTGCTGAAACGGCCTCTGCTGCTGAGACCCCTACGGTGGCCTCAGCGCAGTCTTGTTAGGGTAGGGGATGCCGGGCCAGGGAGGGGGGCGTGGCGACGGGAGGGGTGGCGGGGGTGGCGGGGGTGGCAGAGGTGACAGGGGTGGCGGAGGTGGCAGAGGTGGTGGAGGGGACGGTGGTGTAGACGAGGGGACCAGGGCGGGTGCCCCAGTGCAGCAGCAGGAGCAGCAGCAGCAGCAACAGCCCCAGCAGCAGGAGGAGCAGCAGCAGCCGTGGGGACCCCCGCCGCCGTGGTGAGAAGACAACGGAGGAGACACAGGGTCAAGAGACTGCGGGTGGTAGAAGTGCCAATCAGAACCCAAGAAAGGCACAAGGGACAGTGCGGGCAATGAGGTTGTCCACGCGAGAGTCGCAAACGTGAGCTAGACAGCCCTAGACGTGAAACGCAGACGCGTCACCGAAGGACCCGGTCTAGAGAAGGGTCGGCGAAACCTGTGGGCGCGAAAAGCGGGGGCACAGGTTAAGCTGGTGAGCGACGTAGTGAACTGCGAACGGCCATAGAATATGGGGTGTACCGGCATGAATCATGGAGGTACGATCCACCTCCATGACCAAACCGATGCATCGCTCCCACACCGAGGCTAGGCAACACAGGGTAATAAGGTCCAGTCAGACTAGAGTCATCAGCATACATGGCATACAGAGCAGAGTGAATCCGATCCATATCCATCTCAAATACCGGCGCACGACGATGTACCAGGCTGTGCCAGTCCGGGAGGGCCGGTATGGGCCCAAAGCAGAGACGGAAAAGGTCGTCGACGCGGTGGTAGCAGTGGGCGACGGTGTGATCAGGATGGTCACACACGATGCCACGAAGGGGACCCAACTGGATCTGATACTGGCAACTCACCAAACAAGAGCCGCCATCCAACATCAAACTGCGAGGGCCGCCTCTGCGGCCACCACCACCGAAGCCGCCTGGCAAAAACGGCGGCGGGGACCCCCACCACTGCTCCTGCTGCCGCTGCGGCTGCTACTGCTGCTGCTCCTGCTGCTGCTCTGAGGCGTCAGCCCCCATCCCCTCGTTTGCACTCCCAGCGCTCCCACCACCTCCACCTCCCCTGCCACCCCCAGCACCTTCCCTCCCTTACGCCCCCCTCTTGGGAGAGTGGGGGCTCTACCTTGACGAGACTGCGCTGAGGCATTCAAGAAAGAGTGAGCGCCTCGCAGCTGGTCAAGCAATCTGTCTGCGCATGCGAAATTGGATAGCGAGATTTTATCGTAACCCGATTAAGACTGCAAAATTCAATGCACATTCGGAGGCCCCCATCTTTCTTTGGTTTGAACAGGATCAGCGCGGCGAATGGGGACGTGCTCGGGTGAACGAACCCTTTGGCCAGCAAGTAGTCCAGCCGGTCCCGTAATACTTGGAGCTCGGGTTGTGTCAGTCGCCACAGTGCACTATGCAGCTCGGAAGTTTCTACCTGCCATTCGCACATTTCATCGTGCACTTGTCTGTCGTCCAATCGATCTGCGGATTGTGCTGCTGAAGCCATTCTCGTCCCAGCAGCACATCATAGCCGCCGAGCATCATCGCCAGCATCGGTGTGCTGAAGCCGAAGTTGTCGCCACACTTCATGCGAATTGTTTGCACTCGATCCCGTATCGCCAGCAGGGTGCCGTCGACCAATCGGGCAGGCACCGCCCCAAGGGTAAGTTTATTTTTTTAGTCGTCGGTCAGTGAATCAGGTTGTGGCTCGCGCCACCATCGATGAAGATTTTTACCCTCTTCCCGTTAACCCTTCCTTCTACCAGTACAGGGTGATCCATACGTCCATCCGCGTTATTCGCCCGAGAGCGCTCGATAGCATGTACCGGTACCACTACCTGGTGGGAATGCTGTTTCTCAAACGATTTAGCCATGTCACTCGGGGGCCCATCTGCTACTGACGAGAATCGTTTCCCGGCTTATCCCCATCGTTGCTTTTCCTCTGCTTCCGGTCAGGGCAATCAGCATATCGGTGA